GTTCATCTAAGTCTAGTAGTACCAGTGGTTCCCATACGGCTTTAGCGTACAGCATCTTAGTGATGTAGTCTTGCGGCATGCAAGTGTCAACGCTGTCGCCGTTTGTGTCGCAAAACGAGCCCAAGGAAATTGCCCCACTTACCCGGTTTTAGTTCAGATTCGATTTTGAGGACAGGACTTCCTTTGCCAAGTCTTTAGTGAATTGCACAAGGGCCGTTCTTTCCGAAACCAAAAGATCGTATATGCAGCAAATGCCTGAGGAGCAACAGCATACAAGTTCGGATCGGCTTTGCAGCATTGTCGAACAAAAGCGTTGTTGCCACAGTGTTGGCGCCTGTTTCAGACCGTACACTGTGCTTGCTTCAATCTCCCTAAGCATTTTTGGCCAGGATCTGAATTACTCAATCAGTCATGAGTGCGTGAAGAAAAGCAGTGCTTATGCCACAGGTAAAACATGACCATGCTCTCGCCGACAGAAGCAGTACTCTGAGTGTCACCAGTGTAGGTGCGCTTGCAAACAAAGTGTCTCGATCCATGTTTTCTTGAAAGCAACCGCGTGCAGTACGTCTGCATTTGACATTGCTTGCGGTTTCCAACGCTTAACCCATTTACAGTCAAGTGCTGAGTCTATGTCTTCCTGTGAACTCTGTTTCAAAATCTTTCATGCTGTTCAGTTCATCTCCTCTTGCATTCCTTCGATGACCAGCTCATCAGAAAATTCTGAATCAGCCTGGAAAAGTTGAGGCTCGTTGAGTTTGATCCCCGTCTGTTTCTCCTCAATGTCTTCGTTTACAGCAAGCAAACATTGAATGACGGCTTGGCTGTTCCCTGATGCCACGGTTCTGGGAAGCAATTGCCCAGCATTCTTACTTTTGCCGGTTGGCTGAGGAGAGCGGTGAAATAATTCTCCTCAGGTGCGAAGTCGCCCGGTTATTCCTCAGGATCCATTAGTGCGAAGATTTGGTTGGGGTGATAATCAGGTGGTGCAACATTTGGCTGCTTGCCGTGACCTGCTCCTGAGGTGCAGGTACGGTGGCAACTAAGGTGGCAGTGCTTTGCGGGTGGTGGGCCCTCTGCTGCGTGGTGCAGCGGAATGGTGCGGCTTTGCTGCGCCGAGTGGCCGCTGCCGTTGTCTATGCTGCTGCAGAGCGGTGAAATAACCATAGACGAGTTCGTGAGCGGATGTATGCAGCTTCATGGCCCAGCCAAGAGTTTGCAACTGGCCAAGATGAGTTTCGAGAATAAGGCGCCGGATTGGCCCATCATGGCTGTTCGCTGGTCACTGTATGATTGTGTAGCAAGTGGCAAGTTGGCAGGCCAAGGTCGGCCTGAGGCCGGTTTTACCTCTGTTCATGTATTTGCCCAACTGCCAATAAACGTCTTCGATCTTTAGCTAAAAGACTGGTTCCAGGCCCTCGCGTTCCATCATTCAGGGCATTCCCGCTTTTTGGGGCAAGCGAAAGAAGAGGGCCAGATCCGGCAGCAACCAGGTGATTTGCACGGGCATTTTTGAGGGGGACGTATCTGCAACCACCCCATCCATATGCACAGGTGACGAGACAAGAGATCAAGAGGTTGAGCAAGCAGGCTGGACCCCATTATTTTCACTGCAACTTGTATACTGCAATGGATACATGTTCCATCATTTAAGCTTTCGTTTCTCGCTAGTAGTTACAGAAAACCATGTAATTACACTGCGCGTGGTTCTGACCTGAATTTGGGCAAGAGAGCCCTTGGTTACTTCAAGCCAACACACCACAGCCAAACACCATTGCAAGTTCGCGGGCTATACGGGGCTTGCCGGGCCCACGCAGTATGGCGTGCCAGATAGAATGCAAGGTAATGTGTCAAAGAAAATGTCAGGTATATAGGTTGTGAGAATGTGTGTCAGAGAAATCAGATGAAATGTCAGACAAAAATTTAGAACGCCAGATTATTTAATTGTCAGAGAGGAATGCAAGATAGAATGCCCGATAAAATGTCAGATCATGTCAGGTCAAACTGCAGATAGACTGTTACGTTAAATGCCAGGATAGAATATCGGACATATATATATATATATTATTTTTGTAGCAAAGTGACTGTCAGAATTTGCGTCGAAAAAAAAAACATCAAATAGAATGCCAACACATATGCCTGATAGAACGTCAATTTAAAAATGTTTGATTTTTCCTGTAAGATTGTCAGATGGAATGCCAGGAAAATATTCAGATAGAATCTCAGAGAAGATGTCAGATAGAGCGTAACCGTATGTGAAAACATTTGTCAGGATATTTGCCACGGTGGCGATCACACGCAGTAAAGTACAGTAATATGTTCTTTGCATTTTTCCTGTTTATATATGTTGCGATTTCCTGTTGGTTTACCCCTACATCTCTCTACCTATCTATCATTATTTTTGCCCGTTGCTCTCTTTCTTTGTTTGTCGATCTAAGTGCCCAGCTTTGTCAGCTTTGTGAAAATCCACCGTTCTATTTCAATCATGTGGGCCTCCATTGGCAGCACATCGCGGCTTGACCAAACCATTGTTGACATAGAAATTCGCGAACCAACACTTGAAACAAAATTGATTTCGTATTTGCCCTGAACGTTTGTCAAAGTGCTTTTTGTAGTGTAGGGTCAATAAAGGTTTTTGATCTTTTGTTGATGGAAGGGGAGAACTACGCACCCCTAAGGAGATAGAATGCAAGTGGCATGGGAAAACCCGCATTTTTTGACATGCTGCTGGATGTTTTTTTCGCTGGTGCCTGTCATGTGTAGAGCCGTTACAAATCTGCAAAACATAGTCATTCGGTGTAACATTTTATTGGGTGTAAAGGCACGTGCATGTAAAGGCACCTGTGTGTAAAGGCTCCTGTGTGTACAACCGTGGGAGTGCAAAAACGTTTGTGTCTATTATATGCGTAGTTTTCCCCACCTGTCAGGTGAGGGTCGTTAGATTTCATGTCAGCTGTCCCCCGGATCAGAGTGGTCCCCGCCGGACCTCGACCACAAAGAATTTGCGAAGATATACCAGATAGAATGCCTGAAAGAATGTCAGAAGATATGCCAGGCACATATGCCAGAAATAATGTTAGATAGAATGCCAGATAAAGTGCCAGAACAGATGTCGGAAAGAATGTCAGAATAGATGGCGGATAGATTATCAGAAAGAATGCCAGAGAAAATGTCAGAATAGATTAGATGCCAGAAAGGATGCCAAATAGGATATCAGAATAGATGCTAGATAGAATGCCAGAAAGGAATGTCAGAAAAGAATGTCAGAAAGAATGCCAGAACAGATGCCAGATAGAATAGCAGATAGAATGCCAGAATAGATGCCAGATAGAATAGCAGATAGAATGCCAGAATGGATGTCAGATAGAATGCTAAGTAAAATGTCAGGATATATGTCAGAAATTGTCAGAATATATGCCTTGAAATTCCATGGCGGGGATCACTTAAAGCAATTTTGTTTGTAGAGGCACTTGCATGTGTAAACGCACCTGTGTGTAAGAGCACCTGCAAAAGTTTCTGTTTTACATTTTTTTGTGTAAAAGCATCGGTGTGCAAAGGCACTTGCAGGTAAATGCACCTGAGCAAAAACGTCGGTGTAAAAACGTTTTGTGTGTAAATGCACTGGCGCGTAAAAAAAATGTATAAAGTCACCTTCATGACCTTCATGTATAAAACCGCTCTATGTGTCAAAATTTCGTGAAATGTCTGAATATTTTCGCTTCTCTGTGTAAAACATGTCCTGCGAAAGCAAAGATGTGTGTAAAACAGTTTTTTATGCGCAAGAGGTTTTGCGTAAAAATCCTTTTGTAGAATTGTGTAGATAGTTTTTTGGGGGTAGAAGGTTTGTGCGAAAAGTTTTTGGTGCATTGTGTGCGTGAACAAAGAACATCTTCATCATCATTGCAAGCAATACCGTTTCCACCATCATTATCATCAACGATGTCACACCATGTTCGTTCACCATGATTATATATGATTATCACTGTTCGGAAGGAACCCTCCGCGTGTGCCACTGGTTGTTGAATTCGATATTTCCTGTCGAGCCACATTGTGGTCTAGTTCTGAAAAACAAAATTACATTATAATGTTCATGAATCAAGGTTTGCATGTGCCGGGTACTGCCAGTGCAAGTATGGCACACGTAGGAACATAGTTTTGTTCGAAAAAAATCACCGCATTCACCACTCCAAATGCCCGTGAAGACCATGTAGCTCGCATCAAGGACGATCACTGAATTCAATGTTTTCATGTTTCGCTTGCTAATTAGCCCTCATCATTGTGTGGGACCTTTTTTTTCGCCACTTTCATGGACCAGGTAGCTGCGATTGTGAAATACTTCGACCTTGAAAAGCACGTGAGGACCAGTTCAAGCTGCACCCGGGCTGTCTTCGAAAATGGATAGGGTTTGGGAAAAGATCGGTGGGTCTGGACCAGACTTAAGCTACCAATGCATGCACAAAAATAATGGTTGCATCCTTCAACCCAAGAAAAAGCATGCCTTGTCAAGGGGTTGATAAGTCTGATCCTACATCCCAGACATGTTCCATTACACACCATCATTTTAATCGGAAATATCCCGTTTTTTGCAGAAAAGTTTGTGATATATATATATATATGATTTGTTTTTGTGCTTGAAACGTAATGTCGGCATTGATACTTACTCTTCGAAAAGCATATATGTTGCAAGATATATTTGTTTATATAACGGGACAGGGGTCAAGTGGATGGAAAAAATGGTTTAAGGAAATATCTTTTGCGAAAATCGACACGGGTCAGGGCGTCGGATGAGACCTGAGGAATTGTTCCTTTTGTGTTGCTCACCAACTTCTCGGATGCAGAATAACCACATTTTGGATATGTGTGGTTGTAGATGACTGAGGTTCTTTTTTGGCAAGGACATGTGTGTTTCAGTTGTGGTGCAAGTAAGCCCCTCGCAAACAGTACGCCCAAGGAGACAAGATGTCATGTTTCAGGTTGCGCCACACTGCGCATGTTCAACCCAGGTTCAAGACTCTTCTGAAGTCGTCAAAGCCGACTATTGAAGTGTTGCTGGGATGTTTCTCTGGCACTAGAGACAGCAACAGCACAGCGGCGAATCGAAAAAGATTTCGCAAGGTAAGCCTTCTAAATGTGCAGATGCCTTGGGTTTCGACCGGTGCGCGCAGTCATTTGTGCGGAAAACTTCTGTGGACCCAACATTTCCTGGCAGATCTTTGGCTATGATTTTGCTCTTCAGATGTCCATGCATCCAGTTTGGTCTTATCAGGACAGGCATATCAAAAAAAACACATAATCCTCTGCAGCATTTTTTCTGGTATTGGTATGCATGGGTAAAGACAGATTTTGGCCTGGGAACCACGGACGTGTTCACAGTTGTAGAAAAACAGTGTTGTACAGTGTTTGGGTGTACTATGCCATGCTATCCCTACTTGCATGAAACAACAGCAAACACGTCCTCACCAACCTTCCAAGAAAATTTCACGTTATCCATTTTCTGATTTCAGCAAGCTAGGACCGGGAAGCATTGCTTTCATGCTAGGCAGGACTACTTATGCCAAGTCGGTTCCTGTGGATTGTCTTGATTTGTTACCTAGTGCTGCATCTGGAAATCGTTGGCAGTGACAAGCAAAGATGAACTTGCGGGTGGGCAACCTGTTTGAACGGGCACAAGTATGTACAGCTTACAAACTAAGCACTAAGCTTGGGGGGTACATTATTTTCAGACAAATCCATAAATATATATATATATTTATTTTAATATTAGACACATTATATGCATACGTGTATATATATATACACACATAAACACGTTTTGTTATAAATATATTTATAGTGGCAAAATTGACTTCGGACTTGTCGAGCATACCTCAAAAAGTGGGTGTCCCATGTCATCAGCCAACGACCTCCTGACTGCCTGGTTCCACTCATCCTACGGCATCACACCAAAGCGTAGAAAAAAAAACTGAACACACGCTTTATCAACATAGAAATGCAAAGATCAACACAACCCCACAAAACACAAGAATGCAATATATATCCTTTAGACATTGGGTTTCCAAGAGGTTGTTTTTGTTTTATTGTCTACCGGATGTCGCTTAATCCTATGTCATCTGATTGTTGCTCTCTTGGATTCTGATTTGGATGTGCACTACAACAGTGTTGGGAACAACATGACTTAGAGTTTTGTTGATTTGGGCATCCTATCTTCCTATGTCACTGGCGGGTCTTAATCCTAAGTCATCTGACCCTAGTGTATACATATGTACATATATATATATATGTACACAAACACTCATGATAAAAATACACTTGGACTGTGTATTCGGACGTTTTTGACCAGCAAAAGTTCTTTGGTACCAAATCAATCCTTCTCAGGTGTGTGTTTAGTGGCATTAGTTTGCCAAAAGTGTTATGCCAGCAGTCATTCGAAATGACGGTACTCATTGTGACTTGGTACCTTCACACATTGCTGTGGCCTGTGGTGGACGAAAGACTACCCAACGCCTCAAATATCCTTCTTGTGTGGTCTCCTTGTGTGGCCATGGACGGGGACAAGAAGGACGAGTCAGCCATACCTGGCATAGTGACAGAAGTTATGCTGGAAGCATCTTGTTTGAAGTGTTAAGGGGTGTGAAAAGGCATTCACCAGAAACCTGCTCAAGTCGCTCTGAGTAACCAGAGGCCATTGCATATTTGCGTTCATCACATTATGAAGGGTTTTGCTTGTGTCATGCAGAGACGCATGGATAGACATGCTTAGAGCAACCAGATGTTCGGGAGTGAGGGTTGAACTGCCATCTCCGGCACAAATTCCACAATCCTCTCACCCCTACCTCTATTTCAGGAACACCTTCAAAGACTGCAGGCTTTTATTGAAGCAACTTTGGCTCGCATTTGGACTAGTGAAAGTTCCTGGTCATGCGTGGTGATGAAGAGCGTTGATATTGAAATCGAGTTGCGCAAGGGAAAAATTTAACTTGCACTTGGTTACATTTCCTTTTTGTTGCAAAGGCATGGGTCGATATATATATGTGTGTGTGTATATTTGTATTAGGATGCAGGGACCCACAAAAGTGAGTCACGTTTGGTTGCCCATATGTAAGCACGAATCCAACCTTGAAAGATGCTCCACAATACATGGACACTTTCCCGAGGCACAGCTAGATCGCCAGACCATGATCTTCAAGAACAGCCTGGGTGACTTGCATGATGCATCTGTCTGTCGTTATCGATATCCGATGAAAAAGAGATCTTGCTCTTAATTAGTGTCATCTTCGTCACCGTTTTCATTCTTCATCATTAACTACATGTGTTTTATTCCCCATCATCCTCAAAACCGACATCAACGCCATAATTAATTATCATCATCACTGTTGTCCTCGTCATCATCATCACCATTTTCATCATCACCATCATCATGATCATCATTATCACAATCATCACCATCATCGTCGTCGTCACCAAAATGATCGTCGTCATCATCATCATCACCATCATCATCACCATCATCAACATCAATGTCGTCATCGTCATCATCATCATCACCATCATCATCATCATCAATCGTTACTTTAGGACTTGTGCGCCTAGCTGGTCACAAGCTTACCTTGACAGGTTCTGATTTCTGATGCCATTTTTGGCAGAAAAGGATCGTTGAGCAGGATCGCTAGCCCACAGCATCGTGGAAAGACGAGCGGTCATCTCCTTGACGGGGACGATTCAAAATATTGTTCCTTAACCTTGAACCACCTTAATGTCGTGGGAAAAACGTGGAAAAAACACAGGGTCCTCCTTTTTTCCGTTAAACTTCAAACCAATTCAATGATCATCGGCCAGTTCACCAACCAATGGAGACAAAAACGCAATCATTCAAGATGGACAGGATGACCAAGCTTTTGCGAGCGTGTTTCTGCCAAGCTTTACACACATTTATCTGTTGCATCAACCGCAAAAACGATAAAACACATACATTGAGGAACCATCTACATCCTGAACAAGTGGTTGTATCTTTTTGGGGATTGTTATACACTGTTATGAGTTGATTTTAATTCTATATATATATTTATGTATATATATATATCTATTTTTATATATATATGTATATTTATTTATTTATTTATCTATTTATATATATATTTATATATATATATACATTCACTCATATATATATACATATGTATTTATATTTATGTATTTGTATATATATATATATAATTATGTATATGTGTATATATATATATATTTAGATTGTTTCTCATATATTTACTATTCACTATTGCGTACTGTCTCCATGTTGTTGTCACTTGTTTCCCGATTTCAAGTATAAAACAAGATATAAACCACCATCCACTACCAACTCAAACATGCATTCAAAATATGTTTGGCCATCCACAACCCATGTTTGATCCCCGCTTGAAACCAGAGTGGCGGTTCCAGCAGGTTGTGCTGCCGCGCTTGATGGTGCCAAGGTGGGATCTTTTGATTCTTTGACAAGAAACCAAAAATGAAAATCGCAGTTGAGTTGAAATAGTGGTAAATCATAGCCTTACCAACTTCATAGTTATAGAAAATATAGTTATATCATGTTACATTCATTCACAGCCCATGTTCCAGAGTTGTCGTGGCTTGTGGTCGTTGAGTCATCCAGATGCATTAGATTGAGCCGCATGTTTTCTAATTATATAAGTTCCCCCGTCCCTGAGTTCTTATTCATATCCTGTCCTTGTGTTATGCTGTGATTCCAAAAAAAGGTGCGTTTTTCAAACTATCCCTCCAAATTTGTTCTGGTCGGGTGTGCCCAGGTTTCGTGAAAATCAAATGGGTCTGAATGAATTGGCCCTCGACAAGTTGGCACTTTCTATCTTTTAACTTTTCCTATGGGTGGTTTTTTTTGGCGTCACAAACGGATGAGTCCATATCCCTAAGAACAGAATACAATGCCTGAAATGTGTTGGGTAAGGCTGGTTATGGTTCACCGGACTACTTCACGCTTTCTGTTTGTTTCGACTCTAACAGTTTGATCCGTCCCATTACAGCATATATGTTTTTGTTTGCCCTGGATGTGCGTGTTTCTCTATGTACCCGGGTCGAGCACATGCATTTGTTTGACAGGGTGCCTCGAAATCCCATGGTTAATCACCACGTTTCCTCTAAAGAAATGAGGTTATACCCCATTTTCGGACAGACCCAATTATCATATTGTTGTTGAGTTACATCACATCATATCCCAGCAAACCAGCATTATTTCTTGGCTTTTGCTGTCCCTTCACCATGTTTAGCCTGCGCAGCTTCTTGAGGAGCAGGAGCAGGACCTGGACTTTCTAAGATTGGATGATCATCCTTTTAACTTTTAAGTATCGCTTGTTTTATGTTTCACAATCCACATTAGTGGATAGGATCGAATCTGTTAGGTTTTTTGGTGTTGAATCGGTGCATGATTATCATTAAAAACATCCTATCAATCTTAGGAAGTAACTCCCGAGGACCTGATTCTATATTTTCATTTGGGGTGACCACAGTGGGGGAGTTTCATATGATCATGTGAATCAAGTGATGGGATATATAATCTCAGTAAGACTGTCTACAACAGGATCATCCAACTTAGTAGACTTACTGAGTAGAGAGTAGCCATCTGGTGATGATGGGTCTATCGATTTGCATGGAATGTCCCTGAAAGGCACTAGATGGGGTTGTTGCCCAGCTCTAAAGTGGATGGTCACATTCAATCGCACTACGGGGAGAGGGGCATATTGTATTCTTATGTTTTGCAGTCTGATTGGCAAGGGCAGGGTCTGTCCAAGAAAAAGTACACCCCAAAACATCAATGTTTATATGGAAAATGATGAAGAATTGCGGATGTGCATCCTTTTGTTGGACAAGCCCAGTGGCAGTTGGTAGGCTTCTTTTTCCAAGACATGATGCGCCAATGCACCAGATTTCCTGGGTCGGCAAGAGATATCCCCGTGTGACTGCTAGAGCTTGGCTCATAGTTTGGATTTGGGTTGATTATACCCCCACATTGTCTGTTGGTTCGTCTTCGATTTCGCCTGGCTACCCCATTTGTGATTTCAAGTGATGAGATCCCCCTGATCTTTACCCATGTGTAGAAGAAATCCATAGAAATCAGAAACCGATAGACATCCATAGAAATCTATAGCAATCTAAAGAAATGCATAGAAATCTTCAGA